GGGGGGAGGGGGGGGAGGGGCGTGGCAAGCATTGTCGGTGGACCCCCTTGACGAACCTGTGTTGTCCGAAGCTGAGATACTGAGCATGAAGAAGAAGCCGTGCGGAGAGGCACTTCGTAGACGAGGGGTGAAGCATTCGAACGGAATAAACATTGACCTCCTAAGGCAGATGCTGGTGAAAAGAGTGCGCGACCTAGAGCAAATAAAGGGCTCAGCTTGGCGGAAGGCCTGGAGAAGATAAGGGAAGACGCCGCATCGCCGTAGTTTTTGTTTGTATCGTGTACGTGTGTGTCTTTGTACATTATTTCGGCGGTCGTCCAAAGGCGACCTTGTATAAAAGGCGACCTTGTATAAAGTAAAAAGCTGCGAACGGAAATGAAAAAAATAGATAGGCAGTCTATAATATGATAATAAGTCTATATATTCAAGAATAGAACACGCTGTATGTATGGTACTCGTGGGATGTCGGCGCGCCGGGCGAAGTATCGAAATGTTGTATCGAAATATTGTATCGAAATATCGTCAAATATCGTCAAATGCATACTTTAATCGAGACAAAAAAAGCCGAAAGACTTGGGAGGGAAAATACAACCGCTGGGGGAAAAAAAAGGAAAAAAAGGGGTCCCCACAGAGACTCGAACAAGCAAGTTCTGGCTTCCACGGAGGCCGATCCGGATCCGATCCGATCCGATCCGACCCCCAAAAACCAAGTAATTTATTTTCGCCACTGCGAAAAAATCGGCCTCCGGGGAGGCCGATTTTTTACTGGTGGTGCACGTTCCGTCGGTATTGGACATATATAGAGAAAATAGAGGAGGGGGAAATGTCCAATACCGACAGCAACTAACTGTAACACTCTTTTGACGTGTTAGAGACCTCACAGCTGCCACAGACACAGCCGCTACAGGACATTCACCACGCCAGCAATAAAGAGTGTTAGCAGCTGGTTGCTGCTGCCGCAACAACAGCGACCCAGAGCAGAGAGAGAGAGAGTCTCGAGAGCGTACGCCGCCCACCAGAGAGCCTCGAAGCTGATGCGACAGCTGATGACAGAGAGAGAGAGGGTGCGCCCCCCGGCTAAACAGAGAGTCTGGCAGCCGAATGAACCCTTTCAGACCAATACACACGCTTTCCCAAGCAGGTCTTTGTTCCTTGCCCTGCTGCTTATTTAGTTATGACGCAGCGCTGGGTTGGTCTGCTGAGTTTTAGAAGCGAGACTAGTTGTGGCCGTTGGAGAGTTTTAAAACTTGGATCTTCTCATCATCCTCTGCATGATCTGTCGAGGCAGCGCCCGCCATTGTCCTGTGCTCTGCTCGCGACGGCTACTACTCCCATGCAGTGCGGGCTGCGGGCTGTCTGCATGCTATCCGAATACTGTAATGATACTGGTGGTCACACGGTTCTGTTGGATAGAGAGAAAGCCACACCGTACATGCATGCAGTCTATGTGTGTGTGTATGATATGCCATGTGGTATGTCATAGAGGTGGCTCGTCAAAATCAAACAGGACTATGTGTCAGGGTGCCTAAACGACTCTCAGCAGTCGATCCAGGGTACTGGCTTTCTTTGCGCATCTAGTGCAAAAACTCGCGAGTTAATCGAGGGCGGGATGGTCGGGTAAGGTCGAGTCAAACACGTGACGGATCGCAGAACTCTTCCTACAAAACCCGGGGTTTCCTCCTTTTCCTTTTTCTTTTTTTTTTCATGCACCACTGTAAAAAATCGCCGCTGTATGTAGTTGCGCCGCACCACAAGGTGGAGCGTGGTTGCGCAACACAGCGTGATGGTTTCCAAGTGAGAAAGCGAAGAAACGCGTCCCTAGCGACCCGTTGCAGAGTTTGTGGCCAAAGTACGGAACACGGGAACCCATAAAGCAGTATTCGTGTGATATTGTAAGCCGTCGCGCCGCCATATCTCTGCAAGCTCGCTGCGCTTGATCGCGCCTCCACGGGGCGCGAGGCACGCTCCACGCCCCACAGCGGTTTAGATGCCTTCCCTTCCCTCCACGCAGGTCCACCCGCGGCTCGTGTCCTCATTTTCTCGTTTTGTGGGTAGGTTCTGAAGCCCGATAGGGATTTCTGTCGCCGAAATTCTCGGACCTATATTCGACAAGGGCGACTAACGGCGACGATCGACGGAGCGACGGCGGCACGATAGTATGGTGGGAAAAGCCTTCGGGGCTTCGGGGCTGCGCCGAAAATCGCACAAAACGGCGCGGAGCGCCGATTTTTTGGAGCAGTGGCCAAAATCGGGTACACCCGGTCAGAACACGGCCATAATCGGATAAAGCCCTACAAGACGCTGCTGGGAGCGACCGCATGCCGCCATCTGATTGGTCGGCGCCCGCCCCTACCCGGCCTTGGCCGTCTTTCCACCGAGTGCACCCGATCTTGGCTACTCACCCCCCGGAGGGGTACCCGGTCTTTCTTTCCCCTACCCGAAAATGGCTGGGCTGTTCGACCAAAACCCATGCCCACAAGTACACGTCAGCAACGCCCTGCCCTCGAAAATTCGGACGTTCTGACGGCCCGCCGGGCGGAGGCAGACCCTCCGCCGGCGGTGGAAGTCTCCCTTGGGGGAAACGGCTGGCGGTCTGTCTGTGCAAATGATCGAGAAGAAGAGTTGGATGAATCCCTCCCTCACGAGATGCTACACACACGGGGACTCATTTAGAGATGCGACATATTCTCTCCCTCCCGCTACTTGCTCATTGGTGACAAACGAGGGCCAGTGGTGTGCGTCCGACCCGTGATTGTGTGCATGGGTTTTGGTCGAACAGCCCAGCCATTTTCGGGTAGGGGAAAGAAAAACCGGGTATCCCTCCGGGGGGTGAGTAGCCAAGATCGGGTGCACCCGGTGGAAAGACGGCCAAGGCCAGGTAGGGCCGGGTGCCGGCCAATCAGATGGTGGCATGCGGTCGCTCCCAGCAGCGTCTAGCAGGGGTACCCGATTATGGCCGTGTTCTGACCGGGTGTACCCGATTTTGGCCACTGCTCTTTTTTTTGGGTATAGCTTCGATTTCGGGGCAAAGCCGCCAACGCAGATAGGCCGGCCGTCGGCCGCCGAAGAGAATATCCAATCTTGCCGGAATTTCGGCGCACAATCCTGCGGGCCCCCCGCCAAAATTAAAAAAAATCCATAACGAGTGGCCGCTGCGCCGCTGCCATCCACCCTCCTGCTCCACGATACCGATACCCCAACCAGCTACCAGACACCAGACCAGACGGCTTTGGTGTGCCGTATGCTGTCTGCTGGTCTCCATATGGTCCATAGGTCCAAAATGCTTCACGAACGAGGGTTGCAGCCAATACGAGAACTATGACGCCGCTGAGCTGATGTGTCACGGATGTTTTCGACCGCATGCACTTTTTGTTAGTCTTGGTGTGCTGATTTGCTTCCTGTAAAATGATTCCTGTAAAATAAAGATGATGTAGCACCTCTAATTTAAACGCGCGTTTATGTGTTTTATTTTATGTCTGTTTAGGGCTTTCGCGTCGAATATGTACACCAATGAATGGCGATGTCCGTCAATCAGCTTCACTTGTCTACCAAACCAAAACCCCAAAAAACAATTATTAATTAAATATGTATTCCCCAAACCTGACCCTAAAAAAAAAGTGACGCACGAAGAAGTGACCCCACTTTCTGTGTATTCACTTGGTTTTAGAGTTGTCGATGTCCGGTCTCTTCTCTAAATTCAAGTTATTT